GTGTGTATGTGTGATACCGTCATTCGCAGTTAATCGTTTAAATCTTGTATCAAAGTAAATATATCTGGGTTTTTTATGCTTCGGCTTTTTCCCAAGAATTGTGTTTTTGTGTCAGTTATTTTTTCCATATTTTTTATCATTTATTTTTCTGATTTTTTAATGCAGCCATCATACCACCTAGGGTATGATAGCCTTCAACGTCTTTTCAGGTTGAGTGGTCGAATTTTTTACCGTTTCCATTTTTCCATTCACACTTCAATTGCCGTTTGACGATTTATGCCTCCAAAAAAATTATATATATATTTTGTATCACCTTTCGGCAGGATATGCTGTAATTCCTACCCTTTTTCCATTATTTCACATTTCAAAATTCTAATTCGACTGCACTGTTTGCAATTCTGATTATTCTTTGAAATCACGTGAAATCACTTGAAATTAGCAATCATATGATATTCGATAGCGAATAACCCCTCGCCTTTTACTGTCGTATTTCAATTTTTTTTTCAAAATACTCGTCTTACTGTCTTCTATCAAGACTAATCAAAATATGCATACCCGTTCATACAAAGTTTTCGAGATATTGATGTGTTGCAGATTTTTTTATTTACGAGTGAATTTGACATTCTATAATACACCCAGGGTTGCCAGATTTTGACGATTTATAGCCAAAACCTGTACAATTTTAAATGGGGTGACGTCACGATCTGGTAACACTGAATACCCCGAAGAGTTGAAATAAACATCTGCAATTTGGCTACCAGTTGATATTATTGAGTCACGCTTATGCATAAAATTTTGGGTCGATCGATTGAGTACATCCTGGCATAGAGCAATGTATCTAAAAATCGTTTTTTCAAAAAAAAAAATGATACATCGTCTTTTTATCAATGATTTACAAATCATTGATTAAACAATAACCAACTTCCCGGGGCGTTGACGAACCAGGAAGTTGACAAAGATGGTTCTGAGATGAATAGGACCAGACCGAAGTTCAGCGGAGCCGCGAGGCGCCGCTTCAAGAGGGAACGGGGGACCCTCGGAGCTGAAGGAGCCCAGTGGAAACCTGCTGCGAGTGACGCAACGGTGCAAGGTGTGAAGCGCCCAACACCCGAGCATAACACCCCTAGCCCTTAAATAAATCGGCCAGAAAAACGGGCCAAGATTGCAGACAGCCATACCTCTCATCCAAGAACCTTGGTTAGTGGATGGGACAATAAGAGGCCTAGGGGGCTGTGGGAAGTTACTCCACATGAACCCTAGGGAGAACATGATAAGGGCTTGTATCCTCATCAAAGGGATGGAAGCCACCTTCCTACCTCAAATCAGTAAAGAGGACTTGGCAGTAGCCGATGTAAAAGCCCTGATACGGGAAAACCGCGTCTTGGAGCTCATGATAGGGTCAGCCTACCTACCCTATGACTCCATAGAACTCCCCCCAACGCCAGAGGTGGAGGGTCTTATAAACAGAGTGAAGGACGGTAGGCTGGAACTCCTGCTTGGAGGTGACGCTAACTCCCACCATTTGGGGTAGGGAAGCTCAAACACCAATGCGAGGGGAGAAGCTCTGCACGACTTCATGATGGGGAATGATCCTCTACTTCTGAACAGGGGAAATGAACCGACCTTTATGGACTGCAGAAGACAGGAAGTGTTGGACATAACCATTTGCACAACAGGCATGGCGGACTTGGTAAGGGATTGGAGGGTCTCCAGGGAACCCTCGTGCTCAAATCATAGTCAGATACGCGTAAGTCTAACTGGCAAAGTGGACTCCATCCAAAGGAGAAATCCAAGGAACACAGTCGGGGAGGGATACAAAGCGGACCTTTCACTGTGGATCCAGGATGTACCCTGCCGATTTGAAAACAAGGAACGACTGGAATACGCAGCCAAATATTTCGGAGAGGCGATCAGATGTTCCTATGAAAACAACTGTAACATACGCACTCACAAAGGAAGCAAAAAGGTGAACTGGGGGAATGACACGCTAGCACACCTGAGGGGCCGACTGAGGAAGGCATGGAACAGGATTAAAAACTCACGGACCTCGGAAGACACTGGAACTTCTGCTGGAAGTGCACTTTCCTGGCTTCACCAGACAGGACGGCTTACAACAGGCCCCCAGAGTAACTGGAGGCCGATACAAATCGCGAGATTGGGCTCTAGCAGCCAAAATAGTGTACCCACAGGGGGTAGGATGGGCGATTAAGTCCTTCGAACCCTTAAAGGCACCAGGACCAGACACAGGACATCTACCCAGTGCTTTTGCAAAAGGGGATGGACATCATCTTAGGGCCACTCACGAAAATAGTCAGAGCCAGTGTGGCTCTGAGAACCGTACCGCAAGTGTGGGGGGAATCAAAGATCGTTTTCTTACCCAAGCCTGGAAAGAATGGCTAGGTGAAGCCAAATGACTTCAGACCCATCAGTCTAACCTCCTTCGTTCTCGAAACGTTGGAGAAGTTGATGGATAGATTCATAAAAAACTCACTGCTGATAGACCGACCCCTGTCCTCCTCGCAATATGCCTATAGGGAGGGGAGGTCCACCGAGACGACCCTGCACCAACTTGTAGCAAAGATTGAGGAAGAGATAGAGGAGAAGGGCTACACAATGGGAATCTTTCTCGACATCGAGGGAGCTTTTGATCGTATTAGATACGATGTTATAATGAAAGCTACGTCAAAGAGAGGCTTCCCAGAGACTATCATTAACTGGACACAAAGCATGTTGGCGAGCTGGTCACTAACCGCAGCTCACAACGAAGCAAAAGTGGAGGGCTGCCCCGTAGGCGGGTGTCTGCAGGGTGGGGTTCTGTTTCCACTCCTGTGGTGCTTCGTGGTGGACGAGCTGCTAGAGAAACTGAGAGAATAAGGTCTCCTGGTATATGGCTACGCTGACGACGTGGCTATCATCGCCAGGGGCAAGTTCCTCAATGTGCTGAGAGATAGACAAAACTATTCTCTAAGAACGCTGGAAGAATGGTGTGCTGAGACAAAACTATCAATTAACCCTGAGAAGACGTCCACCATGATATTCACCAGAAAATACAAAGTTGTGACTCCTGAACCACTGAGGTTTGGGGGAGCGGAAATTGCTTACGCTACCTCGGTAAGGTACCTAGGGGTTCAACTAGACCCGAAGCTCCAATGGAATGAGCATATAAAGACACACATGGGCAAAACCTATGTCACTCTGTGGGCATGCAGAAGAGTCATGGGCAGAAATTGGGGCTTCAGTCCTAAAATCAGCATGTGGCTATACAAAATGGTTCTGCTGCCGCGGCTCACGTATGCCGCTCTGGTCTGGTGGCCCAGGGCGGAGAAGGTGGAGATAAGGAACCGGCTATAGGCCCTCCAGGGTAACTTCCTGAGGGCGGCGACCGGGGCCATAAGAACGACACCTATCGACGCACTGAAAGTCGCTCTTGACCTACCACCACTCGATCTTCTTGTGGTGAGCAAGGCAGAATTAGCTGCATACAGGCTTATGTACCAGGCGGAATGGGTTCAGGCGAGGGCGGCACACGCCAGACTGAATATTCTTAGGAAAACCCCCTTAAACATGGCCCAAGAGAGAATGGCCAGGAAATACCAGATCAGGAAGGCCTTTTAGACCTATATTCCTGAGAGGGAAAACTGGAAAGCTGTAAATACTACACCAGGTATTAATGTCAAGCACTGGTATACAGGTGGCTCGGGATACAAAGACCGCTTTGGTGCGGGACTGTATAGACCGGTAGAACAATACGAGAGCAGTTGGTCCCTAAGGGCCATTGCCACAGTTTTTCAAGCATACGTTCTGGCTATAAAAAAATGCGTAGAACTACTGAAGGATCGGCAGACGATAAACAAGTATATTTTATATTTGGTGAGACAGTCAGGCCGCCATCAAAGCACTCATGAAACCCAGTGCTGACTCAAAGTTAGTCTGGGAGACCATGGAAGTGCTGGAAAGGCTCGGAAGACACAACAGGGTGACTCTGGCGTGGGTCCCAGAACACGAGGGCATCCATGGCAATGAGGTGGCGGATGGACTGGCGAAGCAAGGATCACTTAGTGAAACCGAAGCGGAACCAGTCGGAGTCCCCCTAGTCATGGGCAACAGAGCCATCAGAAACAAACTCCGACGGGAGCAGTCCAACCGCTGGAGGAATACAAAGGCTTGCAGGAAAGCCAAAGCAATCATGTCTGGTCTGAACAGCAAAAGAGCTAGACAGCTACTCAACATGGAGAGAGACAGCCTGAGCACAGTAATCAGACTGCTTACAGGACATGGAAGTTTCAAGGCACATAGCAGAATCATAGGCGTCAGCGAGGATGCTCTGTGCAGATTCTGCAATGAGGAAAGAAAGGACAATTTGCACATTCTGTGCAACTGGCCGGCATTAGCCGTGACGAGATTACATTGTTGGGAGACCGCCTTCCCCATAACCGATCAAATCGCGAATAGGGAGGTCTTCGATTTATTAAGACTGGCTGTAAAAGCCGGGCTGGAAATTTAATCCGAACCTCAACTCAGGCGGAGGCTAGCCCGACCATCCGCCCTTTAATCTAATCTAAAAAATTATCTACGCATCGGGATGCCTTAAAAAGTCATGTAACATAAAATTGAAATGCTTGAAAATCGATGAACTATAAACAATCAGCATTTGTGTTTCGATTCCAAATAGATTCTCCTCATTTCTTCTTTGTTAATTTTGCTAAGTGATCTGTCGTATTTTTGGGCAAAACACATAATAATCAATAAACGTCATGTATGATATTTTATCTCTCTTGGAAAAAACCTGATCAACTTCTTCTAATCCTGGTGCTTTATCCTATCACTGTGGTACGTCACCGACTTGACTATTTTACAATCAACTCACCCTCCACTTCACTTTATATTCCACTCACCCGCGCGCCCAACCCCTCTTTGCCGAACCCCTTAATCAACTCATTACAGAACACGGTGCACAATTTTCATCTTCTTCTCAATATCTCAACGAATAGTTCACTAACCAAATGTTTTCAACACCAAAATATCTCCATGATAATATGTATCGAATAAAATTAGATAGTTCAATAGAAATTGACTTTTTTTTTAAATAGAAATGCTATGGATCTATTCGTAAGCTTACTACCAATAAAATTGGTAGAAATTAAAAAGGAAGGAAAACAGTAATAACGCATGAAGTAACGGTCAAATGCGTTCTGTTGGATAGGCTCGATCCCGAGCGTGTTTTCAATCGGAATCCTTATATACACGTCAGTCTTTATCGATTTTACGCTAACATTGAAGTATTCACAAACGATTTTCATAATTGAGTTCAACGTAATTTTATACGTCCTACTTAGTTGTTTGACTATTTTTGTCTGGAATCACCACGCGCAACTCCTTGAACTTAGAATAATAGGTGCAAAAACATAATTCCATGCAACATCGAAGAAATGTTTATTTTGAGAGCTATTGACTAGACGTTAGGTACTGAGCGGTATAGGATTCAGACAGCGGGATTAGCTGCATGCAGCCAATACCGCTAACTCAGCTCTCATCTTCATTTTTTAATAATTTACTGAAATTGAAACAAAAATTGAGGATCCAAGACTTATGTAAAGACCTAGCTAAATAGTCAAAGAATGCTATGCAACTGTAATTTTTACTAGAAATTATGGTCTGGGATTCGAAAATTATCGTTATTCCCCAGGTGAGCGGTACAAGTACCACTTCCCCCAGTAATTTGGGATTATAGGAGTTATTGCTTTATAACTCCACGTCACTACGTCACGTCCACCATCACTGAGTGAGATGGAATAATATTCTTATGTATTGTAGAAATATCTTCGCTACACAACTTCAAAGAGAATTGATGACTTATTGAGGACTTAGAAGTGCATCATGATTATAGTTACATGAGTCCAATTGTAAAGTTGAAATAGTATATTTCGATACGAGTGAGACGGCATTTTCACGAGTGTGAAATTGGCAGCCCGTGACAAAGCCGAAGACTACCAATCACACAAGTTAAAAAGTCCCGTCTCACATGTGCCGAACAATATTTTTCGTCACTGAGGCCCGATAAATGGTAATTACTGGGGCTCCGTTGGGAAGGGGTAAATAACGTTTAACACTGCAGTTCTATAATCGGTGGTCTAAGGATGGTAAGTGGAGGATGAAGTATGGTAAGTCTCACTTACTACTCTAAGGACCGATAAAGCGGAACGGGAAGTGAGCTGATCGAATCGTCATTTGGGCATGCGCTCTGCATTTGGGAAAATGTATAGTCTAGTAAGATTTACAGCGCCCTTGGCGGCCTTCTCTGTAACCTGACCCACCGGTAATAAAAGTGGCAGTCGCCATATTGTTGTTGTGCATCGTTGTACATTAGATGACTGTTCAGGAGAAAATTGTGATGAAGTTCGGGGAAAAATAAGAGAAAATGGAGAATTTGATTGTCCCAGATAATGATGAAATCTATCAGGAAGTACTGTCTCATGACATGTTTAGTGATATGGACAATGAGAGTAAGATATCGTTTGTATTTTTGTTATATATTTTCTTATATGCAAATATAAGAAATTCGTTGAAAGCAGATATAAGATAAAAGGAATATTTATGATTGATAAAGAAAAAGTTAATTTAAGAGTTTTTGATCCACTTCAGGTCGATATTTTTTTTCGAAAAAGGTGAATTCGCAAAATATCAGTGTTTTTATGTTCAGTTCCTGTTCAAAATGGATGAAAAAAATTGGAAACCACTAAGTATCATCCCTTATCCTTGATAACTCTTCTTATTTTTTAATTTCGATGCAATTTTTTTTTGCAAGTGCAAAATTTGCATCACCAATCCCATGTTTTTGGGTATTCCAACAGAATTTACTAGTTATCAATTTTTATATTAAGTCATAACGATTTCAGTTTTTGAAAACTTTTTTTTCTATTGTCTTTCTTTATTTTTTCAGTGGGGGGGGGGGCTTCGCCCCCCCAACCGGGGAACTTTGTCCCTCTGGGCCCCCTCCCGCAACCTCTCCCACTCCCCCCTCATCAGGCTTTCGTGACGAAAAATAGTATATGTAATTTGGGCGATAGCGTTGGTTCGTGAGTCGTGTAAAGTTTGCAGCACTCGGCGTGGTAAGTCGGAGACGAGACTCGCCGAAGACGCAAACTCGCACTTCTCACCAACCGCCGTTTATCGCCCTCATGACATAATGTGCTATTTTAACAGTGATATTACGTTTAATGAGTGGCCGAACTGTATTTTTTCCGCTTACAAGTAAACGAAAAGGAACTTTTCGATGCAAGGTGAACGTAGCAGCAGTATCAAAAAAATCATTTTCTTTATCAACATAGAGAAAGTGAAAAAGATGGTAAGCACCTGTGTAACAATAATTTGTCACCGTTTGACCCTTCGATATCCACAATTAAAACGACATCGAGATTGGGTCATTGATAAAAATTCTTCTCATTTCTAGTAATTAATTAAACATCATAAAAATGCCGACAACCGCCCAGGCCGATAGAGGTCTATTATCGCAATATAGTATTAAAATGGAACCATCATCACGCAATTACCAGAATTGATGAGTTTTTACGTACATTGAATAATTCATAGGCATTGAATTTATAGTTGTGGTGAGACCTCATTATTATGAACATGAGAATTTCTTTGAAATTTTTACTTCTATCCGACCACTCACAATTGGAGTACATATGTATGTAGACGAATGATATCGCTAAAATATTTTAGCGATATCATTCGTCTAGGAACATTGTGTCAAATGAATGTTTGCATTTTCCTTGTAATGCATGAGATCGATTTCCCCATTGTAAGCTGATATACATACATATATATATGCACAGCGTACATATATGCGTCCATATACACTACATGCGGCTATCCTACTCGCCTCTTCTCTGAGAGGCCACTGCGTCAAATCGGAGGGGACTAGGTACCTCTGGGTTTAACCCAACTTTTTGAAATGGGCGATTCCACAATTCTTTTTTTTTTATCGTTATTTTACATCGCTTCGACCCGGTTAGGGTATACTGCTATGATGATCAAGACTTCAAATGGTTAGATCGCACCATTCTACCCGGCCGGGATTTGAACGCGGAACCTTTCGCATGTGAGGCAACGACCCGTTGCGCCAAGCCACCGGGGATGTTCCACAATTCGGGAGTTCAGGACGCCACGCACACCACACACATTTCGCGATGTTAAAACCCAGAGGTAGTTTCCGGGTAGAACCCGGAAAGAATGTGATTGATGGTACTCTACGCGATGAGATTCTCTGCATTTAATCCCACACGTTTACGGGGTACCCTATTCAATTTTCGGTAAATAGCTAAAATAACAACTCCAAGTTACAATTGAAAATTAAAATGGATATGATAAAAATAATTAAAAATAAGTTGATGGCGGCGATTCTTAGAATGTAAGATCTCTGTGGAGAAAGTACAAATTTGGTATATTTTATTATTAACAGTATCTCAGCTTTAGAATAGGACCAATCAACCCCTAAGTCTGGACATAACCCGGGTGCCGAAAATGACTAAGCTCCGCATACAGAACGGTAGAGGAAGGTCTTTTTGATACCATTTCCTACTATGCATAGCGTAATATAGCGTTCTATGAGTTGTTATTAATCCGCTCTTTTTACTGTAGAGAACAGAAAAATTGTTATATTTGTCAAAGTATTATATTGGAATTTGCAGACTTTCCTCCCCAATTGTATGAAGTGTACAAATTATTGCGATCAACTATTTGGATCAGATCTCGTACCGAATGTATAAATTATTCCGGGTCGTAATAGTTGCTGAGAATCGTGTAAAATTTAAGAACCCGATCAGATCTTGGAGCGGAGTAGGTGAATAAAAACTTACTCAGTTTAGATCCGACCGACCCCCACGTCCTCCACCATATTTCAGCACCACAATGTTGAAGTTCATGCTACGCGCACTCTACACCTTACACATGTGCCCTGTTGATCCTGTTGATGTGGTAAAGTCTGTGGTCGACGCAATGCCAAACCAAGATACCCAGACCAACAGACTGTGCTAATGCGGGAGCCATGCTTGACATATTGTTCTGTTTTGGAGATAAGTGTGTTGGCCGTACGATCGGGTACTACGACGACTATCAATCACCTCATTGTTTCGAACTCACGAGACGTCCAAGTCTTCTTTCCACCCCAACACAACTCATCAGCACATCGACTACTACACCCCTACCCCCTAACTTAAGAAGCGTCTTAAGAGAAAATTGATGAAATGTAGTGAATCAAACCTCTATAATTAAATATTAGCAAATTTTCTACTATAAATGTTTATTTATCGATTCATTTTCAACTTTCTCTGTATGAGCCATTCCATGTTAAATGAATCAATAACTGACCCTCACCGTCTTAGAAATTGATTGCAATTCTCTTCAACTTTTGGAGACTAAAAAAACTATCTTCCAATATTTTTTTCAGATTTTTTTGACAACCCATTTCATAGATTTGAATTTTCTTCGTTTTTACATTTTCTTCCAATAACTCGAGTTCCATTCATCCCATTTTTATTTATTGAGCGTCAAAATGTTTGATTTTCCACAAATTGCTGATTTATGGAACGAATAGTCACAATTCACCTAACCAGAACTCAAATACTTTTTTCAATTCAATATTCCAGAGAGTATACCTATGCGAAAAACTTGTAATTGGCTAATTGTTTTCAGAAGAGCTGGTCGTACGGATAATGTCCTTATAGGTTATGCACTACGTTCCTGATTTGTAGAGAGTGGAGGCACCATAGCCTTTTCTCCCTCTCAGCACACACCGGCACCCTACCGGCGGCAGGGATTGGTAGGGCTTTCTTGTCAGAGAGTTAAGACCTCAGCGCGGTTAATCTCTTGCGGGAGAGGGTAGCATACGTGCGCAGCCTCATGGCGCTCATCTCAACTACCACGCGCCATAGTTCAAATTTTATTTCTTAACCTAGTACTCTGGTTTCTCATTTTCTACTTATAAAATATTTTTTATTCCAAAATTCATAAGATCGATTTTTGTTTTATTGATGTTATCATTTTTTTTTATTTAAAATCTTTTATTCCTGTTATTTAATTTGTAAGTTCTAAATACATTTTTTATGCTTTCTTACAAACGTCCGTAGGATACTATAGAATAACATAAAATCTGTCTTTATGGGAAGAACGCGATGGAAACTCATCTGAGCACTTGATCCTCTTGCCATGGAGTCGTCCATAACACGTGTCCAAGTGTTTGACTAAACCAAACTCTGATTGTATGTGTTTCCACCATCACTGCGAGAAGGTGTCCTGAACGAAAGGAGATGCCAAGCAGAAAATGTTTTCTTCTTCGAGGGAAATATAATACAGATCCACAAGAATAAACAAATTTGCATTGAACTCCCGCAAAAACTTACACAAGATTACGCGATAAAAGCCTCAAATTGGTGTTGTACTAGCTCTCTGGTTTGCATATATGGCCTTCAATTCCTCATATAATGAGAACCAGTTTTTTGAAGAGTTATTGGTGTTGATATAAAAACAGTTGCTTGAGTTCAAAACATGGAATATGTACACTTAAAGATTCTTCTTCCTCAATAACATGAAGAAATTCCAAGCTGTATGCACCAACTATAGAACAGTAAATAATAATTGCAACGGGCATCCATTCGATAACTGGCATTAAATACCTGAGTCAGGAGATGTCGATTCACTTTAAACAGTCCATGTGCTCCGAATTTATAATTACATTGAGCTCTCATCATAATGAGTTGCACCATTTTCTTAAAGCTCTTACTCTGTTCCGGCCACTGACACGAGTAGATCGTATCAGCTATATTTTGTGTCTATGAACATTACTTGAATGAGTTTTCTGATATTTATTTTGCTTTTTGATTTATCAATGGAAATTAATTGCTCACCCAGTGAGAAATATTTTCAGCAGAGTTACAATATATGAGGGGCTGCGAGATGATAGCTACAACCTGAACCAGCGTTACGAAAGCGCTCCCCAGTTGTAGCTTAGATAATTCCTTCAAGAAGAATACATTAAAATCAACATAACCACATATTTACATACTTATAGATAATATGATAAATTTTTACCGATCGCAGGGAAATCACGCAAACACATAGATTGGCACTAGTCAACAGTGTTGTCAAGTATATTAGTGGGTTGAAAATTTCTTCAATTCTCCGACAGTATCTGCAACATTTATGGGTATGAGGCCCAAAGAGCTGCCCTAACACGGTACTTTACATATATATTCAATATTTACGAGAGTAATTCACAATGTTGTTCGCCGACATGATTCAATCTTCTTAATAATCGGCGATCGAACGTTTTGAGATTACTGTACAGTGTCATTTCTCCAAATTTATTACCTACAGTCTTTGAAGAAAAGAAATAGATGAATAGGACCAATCAGTAATATGAAGAACAATTTCATGAAAAATGACAGAACAATTACGAAAACGGTACCTCCAATAATAAAGATACAATTGTTGTCGACTGATGGAAAAGAGTGTCGACACCGAGATATGAAATCATGAGGAATAATGTACAGCTGAATTCGAAAATTGTGCACAAGATATACCTTGGTACGCTATCAACTTTGAATGGATATCGTATGAACAGAAGCCCCATGTTTGAATCTACGGGCATGTTATCAGCACCAAACACCAAATGGTGGATTCTGCGCCTGTATTGATAGAATAATTTAAAGTTTTTGATGGAGTTTATTATAAGTGATGAGCAATAATCAAAATATAATTTTATAAAATTACGCAATTGGCAGGATAATATAAAGAGCTCCTAGTGTGAAGATCAAAATTGCATAAAATACAGTGAAGAAAATACTTCTCCTCGCGGTGTCAATGAACATATCATTGACACCCTCTCTCAATTCTCTTGTCCATGAACTTTTCAAGTCTTCTAATAATTCTTTGATTTTCTTCGTTGAACTATGCATCAATATTCCCTGTATTAAATTAAGGGCCATATCTAATTATTGCAAGTACAACAATAGTACATTTTTGCGCAGCGTGAGTAAAGTTCAAAGACATTCGTGATGTGAATTGATAGTTTATTTTGTCTGAATTCCATTTTACTCGTGACTTTGAGCTCAGTGGATTGAGTTAGCAAAAAAAAATACATTGTTTCTCTTCTAACTATAAACTTTGAGGTTTTCAATTTCAGTTACTGCATTAGCTGTGAAGACGAAAGTCATAATTATTATTCTATCACTTCAACACCTCCGTTCAATCCTGAATATCTAACTGAGGTAATTCAATTTTTTTCAATCCGTTCCACAACTTTTCTTCAGACTCATTGGATGGGAAAAATTCTAAAACGTTTGGATGAGCTTAGCTAATATCAATAATTGCATCAAAATTATTGTATTGATCAGATATTGCAAAATTCATGGTGATAACGTTTTTTTCTTCGGAGCTGATGCGTGTCCCAATCTTATTTTTATCCATAAATCTTCTATTTCAATTAGCATTTCAGCTCAATCTTTTTCGAGAACAGGCAGCGCGACAGAAACCATTTGACAGATTACATATTACTACTACATATTTTTTTTCTCCTATTTTCATCTCTACCAATTTCATTGGTAGTAGGCTCCCGAATGGATCTCAATCTATCTTTTTTAAAAATGAATACATAAGGACTACCATCAATTCCTTCAATTTTCTTGGACATTCCTTGACTTTCCTAGAAATTTCTATCATTTTCGTGTGTTACAATCCTAACTACAAGCCAAAGTTTCAAAAGGTTTCCCTAAGTTTTACACATGTCATAATGCGCAAAAGTGAATTCCAACCAAAAAAATGGAAAAACATAAATATCTTCAAACTTTTCAATGGGATGGTACACATATTTTGTTAGATGTAGATAGATGACATCAAGATGGACATTTTGAAAAAAAAAATGAAATCGGACTAGCAGTTTTTGAGATATTGAGCAAAAAAGTTTCACCTACAAAGTTGAATATCTCCGAAACTAATGGTCCGATTCCGTTCATCTACAATCCCAAACTTTGATATCATAATACCTAAAATCATACCAAGTTTCAAGTTTCTAACTCAATTATTTTTTAAGTTATCATGCATATAAGCAATTTCAGTGAAAAATCGACGATAAAACTGCATTGCTCGGGGTGGAATTTTTTTTTTTCGATCCAATTGAATAGGTATCATCATGACGAGTATTATGAAAAAAAATTGGAATCCGTCGCATGGTTAAGGAGATATCGGCAAAAAACGATTTTTGAGGAATCGCTATATGTTAGGAATCGCTCAATCGATCGAGCTGAAATTTAGCACAAATTTGACTATCAGTATTACCAATTAGCAGCCAGAATTTCAGCATCTTTGCTCTCATCGTTCTCAAGTTATAGGGACAGTTCTGGACAACCGGACATGAATGTGTAAACACATACCTATACATACAGACATTTTTTAAAAACATCATTTCTTCACGTTTCATGACATTTAAGGCATTTCCACCGAAAATTAGGAAATCGAAAAAAATCATGATTACAAAGCTTCCATTCGGAAGCAAAAAAGAAATTACAAAATAAGCAAAACAAAACTGTTGAGCCGATTACAGATTTTTGAACGAGGGCTTCTTCTTCTGACATAAACTTTCAAAAACAACCGTTTTTTTCTCAAGTTTTATTCAAATACACTTCCCGATACTAAAGACGGAAGTTTATATGGCGGCCCACATCTCGTGACGTCCTGACATTGTTGGATAGGATTTTGGAGTAGTTAAGAGGGCAACCCGGATGATTCTCAATATTAGTTTATCTGTGCTAAAAATACTTCAAAAAATCTGTAAGAAATCCACAGAGGTAGAGACGTACAGAATTGTTCCAGACTCATACGTTTCTAACAATTTACTGTAAATATATACCGCGAACCATCCTAGAATTGTGGTGAAAATCATCGGAATTATCTCCAGCGTGTTATATGGATCATGGTCCCATTCGTGTATCGCTTTATTAACCAAACCTAAAATACTGAAAAACACTGCCGCAAAAGTTAGTGAAAAAACCATTTCATTCTTTTTTTTATTTGCTGGCGTTTTGTCAAAAACACTATGAATGTCGGATAATCCCAATGTTCGCAAAAGAGTGTCAGACACTTTGAACATTTCGTTAAAGCCAATTTTCAATAGATAACTCTTTTTATAAAATATTGAAAATTTTTTTAGCAGATCCTGATGTTTTTTAGAGATTGTTGGTTTCGAAACGAGATTCTTCTCCTGCATTTTTATATAGCTTAATATCTTCAATGAAGAGAAAAACTTTGGAATCGCAACGGCTGTATGAGTAACTCACGCACTTCCTTGCAAGCTCACTTTATTCTTGTGTGGAAAATGGACAACCTTCCACCTCAATTTTTATTATCGATCACTCAGTCAATGTAATTTCGCAGCACAATCTCCAATTTTCAAGACCAATCAATTCGTTGACCATTTTTTTATGATCCCAACCACTTTCGTTTTATGACATGATCCCGAGTATTGTTTATTCGAGAATTTCAATGGTAATTTTCTCGACTTTCGTTTTGTTGTGTCCGACGTAATTCGCTGCAATTGTTTAGATAGGTTCCTATCCCATTATTCGACAACAAATGTGTCGCTGAAAGAAAAACATTTGAAAAAATTTTTTGATCGTTTCTCGACTGTTTACATCTGCACCCTTGAGACATTCCTCGTGCTAAAGAACAATTTGCTGGCACATGAAATTTAAATGATAATTTTCGGAATCGTAATGAGTGGTTGCCCGTAAAAAATGTTTTCGGAAAATTGCAAACACTGGCCACATTTTTGGATAAATAAATCCTTTTTTCATATAACAATAGCTCATTATTTAATTGAACTAAGCATAAATAATTCAATATTAAATTGTTGCATGAAAATTATTGATTATATAAACTAATGAGATTCACGGAAAAAAAAACCGAATGGGGTATATTTTACACAAATCAGGTATATTTCAAATTCGGATCGAGAACAATATATCTAAATCTAGTATTTTATTTTTTCTCAAATGGGGGATGGGTCATTTCAATTCAAAGATGTATTCTTTCGTATTGGGTTCGCTTGTCACGTTTAATATAAGGGTTAGGATATAAGGGTCAGAAAATAACGGTCAGGCAATCAGTGTTAGGAAACGGGAGCGTCAGAATATTAGGGTCAAAAAATGAGGATCAGAAAGTAAGAGTGAAAAATGGGTCAAGCAATGAGGATCGGGAAATGAGTCTGGAAAAGGCAGGGCCAGAATGTAAAGGTGAAAGAATGAGAGTAGAAAAATGAGAGTCAGAATATTAAGGTCAGGAAATTAAGGTGAGAACATGAAAGTACAAAAGTGGGTGTCAGGCTACGATGGTCGGAAGGTAAACCCGAGTGGAAATTCTGTTCAGGTCTCGATCAGAAACTGATCAAGTCCGATCCGAAACTCTGATCAGGCATGTTACGCCTCTGCCTTGTTTTTCCACGAGGGTTTCTCCGCCTTCCATCATTAGGCATTAATTAAATTTAATTGTTTGAGAGAAAAAATTAGTAACTTCCTAGCCGGGAATCGAACCCGGGACCTCCCAATCTCGCGTCGGGTGCTCTTACCATCTGAGCTACCAGGACACTTACGAATTTCACTCTCAAATTGACTCATACCCGAGTGGAAATTCTGTTCAGGTCTCGATCAGAAACTGATCAAGTCCGATCCGCAACTCTGATCAGGCATGTTACGCCTCTGCCTTATGTTTTTCCACTAGGGAAGGCCACAAGGGAAAAGTAAAAATATAAGGGTAAAAAACTAAGGACCAGCAAGCAAGGGTTAGAAAAAAAAGGCAAAATATCCCACGTACGAAATGCCAGTGTTGTAGAAACGGGCCAAGCCTGGCACAGGTCTGGGCGCCCAGGCTTGGACCGAGGTTCGGCCATCCCTGGGGACCAGGGCTTGAGTCTCGGGGGAAGGGCGGGTAACCGAGCCTTGATTGACAGATCTGGCCCAGCCTTGGCCGGGCATTGGCATGCCGGACCTCGATAACCAAGCCTCAGCCAGCGGTGGCCCGGAGCTTGGTCATTGGGCTCCAGCCGTTGGTGTAATTGTAAGGGTTAAGTCGTAAGGGTGAGATGATGAGAATGGAATCATAGGGGTGGAATCATAAGGGTAAAATCTGAAGAGTAAAATTGTAAGGGTCAAATCGCAATAATGGAAAGGGGCGAAAAAATCATAAGGCTGACATTCTGAGGGTTGAATGGTAAGGGTGGAAACTTGAGGGTAAAATATTAAGGGTGTAATCGTAAAAAAATGGTGACATTGTAGGTGTTGAAGTCATATGTTACTCGCTAATTATTACGANAAAGAATAATCGTCATTCAACAGTAATCCTAATTGTTACAATTATTATTGTAATTAATAATAATAATTATTATTATTCATTATTGAATTAATTTACCGATTAAACTGTAGTTGAATCACTTAATATTTCTATCAACTGAATAATAAAACATTCAAGTCGAAAAAAACCGAGATGGAATTAATATGGAAGATTTGAAGTAGAGGTTTTACGAATTGCGCGGTAGACTAGTGGTTAGGGCGTCGGATTAGTAGTCGTGAGGTCGTGGGTTCGAGCCCACGTTAGGGGGTAATATTTTAAGTTAACAAAATCGGTTTTTCAGCGATGATTGCGTTAGGGTTTGGTAGGTAGGGCACAATCAATACTAAAAATCATCCTAAAAAATGTTAATTAGTTTGTTTTTGTTATTATTGATAATTGACCAGTTTGGCAGCCAGTGCGGCACCAGTCGCATGCCGGTATTGATTTTTTTTCCTCGTTGAACCTATTACGAATGCTGAGGAGTAATATTAAATTACTTGTATTTCAATCACCCATATTATCATATTCATGTAATTAAGTAATGTTTAATTGAGCCTGGCCAACGACTGGCAATCAACGCTGGGCCGAGATGGGCGCCCAGACCTGGCCCGATGTTATCATTCCAGGTTTCCACCAAGTCCGGCGCGATCCCGGTTGAGGAACGGGTCCCGAAGTTCGGCAGGCCGGCCACCGGGCTTGGGCCAAGCTCGGCCCATTCGTTTTTTCGTACGTGGGATAAGGGCCCTTATTTTCTGACCCTCATTTTTTTATCATGATATTCTGCCTCTTATTGCTTGATCCTTATTTTCTATCCCCCACTTTTTCACCCTTATATTGTGATCCTCATTACTTGACCCTTACTTTCTGACTCTCAATTTTTCACTCTTATATTCTAACTTTTATTGCCTAAGCCCCACTTTTGTACTCTTAGCTTTTGACTCTCACGGCCTAACCCTCACATTCACATTCATGGCTGACCTTTATTTGCTAACGCTTATTTTCAGACTCTGATTTCCCGACTCGCACTCTTTCACCCGTTCCTTCTGACGCTTATGTCTGATTCTTACATTAAACTTACAACCGGGCCTGCTATGAAAAAATACATCCTTGAATTGAAATAATAATCCCCTATTGGCAAAGAAAATATACTAGATTCAGATATATATTCTCCACTCCGGTAAATTGGAGGTGTGGGATCATACACCACTTGAGTTCAAATCTGTGTGCCTCCAAATTGTTTAATTTTTCAATTTCGTAAAGCTGATGGGCAGCGTATGGCATTCCGTTTTCCATGTAATTTGTACCTTAAAAACCATCTAAAGTTCACCAAGTAGATAACCGGGGGATAATATAGAATATGAACATACTGGCGGAAAAATAACTTTTTTCATTGAACCGAAATGTTTTTTTCAGGTTCTTCTTGCTCATCAATCCGGCTCAGGGCTCTATGAAAAGCAGTAAAAACAGACAATACATATCTTTCGAAGCGAAAGTAGTCAAATTTATGGAAGGGGTTGAAAGATAGCAGTGCTGGTCGATACCAACTGTGCCAACCGGACACTATAAATATGATGATTCACATTCATATTTCTCCTCGAATTCGTACTCTACATGATGATTGTATTAGTAGATAATAATAAAAGTTTACATTGCATTGCCAAAGAAAAAAAAAATATATATATATATATCAATTTGACATTATCCACTCATTTTTCAGTTATTAATTCCATGCATGAAATTTTTAAGCGCACAACACGCCATAACGGGAACAAACAAATCGAAAATTACTTCGAAGCAGAAAACTCAAGGAAGAATCAAAAACACCAAACGTAGAAAACTTAAAACTAAAAAGTCAAGGGACAGGGGAAATTTAAAACAGATGAGGAGGCTAAACTAGACATTTACCGGAAATTTTGCTCGCGCTGCTCAACGGGTCGGTTATGGAGGGAGGTGTAGGTTCAAGTGGAAAATGGGTTACTGGGCTCTTATAATAAAACACGGAAAACTTAAAATTGAATACTGAAATGTATAGGTCTATCTTGTCAAAATTTCAAATAATCCATCTAATAAGCAAATCAAAAAAAGAGAAACAAAACAAGATTCACCCTAAGAGAGAGAAATACAAAAATTATATAATGGAAAAAAAATTATAAACATAATTGACTCTATAACTGCAGAGTAGACAAATAAGCAGAAAGAGAAAGCCAATGCCCAAATAAATTGCCTCAACTTCTATCGCTATAAAATGACCGGAAGCGCGACGGTAGACGCAAAAAAATAATTACGACAAATGTAACTCATGGTAATAACGCCAAAATCGGTACAAATAACGATCCCTAGTTTACTAAATGAATTCCTTCTAAATTCCTAGCTATAAACATAATTAATAAACCCGAAAGGAATTAGAACAAAGCGCAATGCAGCGCAATATACGCCGACCATGTACCAAGAATGTACTTGAATTCCTAACACAACAAATTGGGATTCGCTTTAACTATAAAGCATACGTAGTAAATACATACGAAATGTCGAATACGCCAAATACAGCCCTCTACACTCATCGGTACCGGACCTTGAGTTCCTACTCGCCAAAACGGTACCATATTCCTATATATAGGAATAGGTTGAATATATTCAACCTCACTAAGATGACATGAATACTCTATCATTTCTCTCTATATAATAAAAAAATCTTTCAGCCTCTTGAAATTCAGGCGACGCCTCCCAATATCCCACGTACGAAAAAACGAATGGGCCGAGCTTGGC